CAACGAAGGTCAAATGAGGTAAAAGGAGAAGCTAGGAACAAGATAGAAAATAGAAGGATAAGAGGAAGAGAAGGGGGAGAAAGCACAGAGATGAAAAGAAGCAGAAGGAGAGGAGATAAAGAAGAAGCAAAGAGAAGAGAAGCCTAAGGTGTAGAAGCAGGAATAAGAAGTGGAAGGGGAGGATTAGGAAGAGCAGAGTAGGAAGAGGAGGAGGAGAACCATTATGATCAAGTATGGGAAGAACAGAGAAAATAAGAGGAACATAGAAGATAGGAGAAAGGGCAAAATTATAAGAAGGAAACAGGAGAGAAGGAGAAGAAAAAGGGAAAGACATAAAATAAAACGAACCATTCCTCAGGTCAGTGTGAGATTACGGCTGCTATCACGGGTTAAAAATAGCTGCTTAACCGTCAGTCTTGGAATCACTCCAAAGATCTCTAAGGATTTAGAAGTTTGATACACAAACAGTGATTATTTGATAAGGAGACTGATGGCTTAACGAAGATCATATAGGGATCTCTCTTCTTGTATATGTGTGTGTGTGTGTGTGTGTGTGTGTGTGTGTGTGTGTGTGTGTGTGTGTGTGTGTGTGTGTGTGTGTGTGTGTGAGTGTATGTGTGTGTATGTGTGTGTGTGTGCGCGTGTGTGTGTGTGATAAATAAGATAAGATAAATAAAGTAACAATGAAAATTTACTGTAAATCAAAAGATTTGAGCATAACCACACATCCATATTCTTTAACAGGAACTAACGATTAATCCAGTGGTGGAATCCTCATTTCATCGGGAATCGCCAGAATAACTCATTTAAGACGGATATGGAGGAAGAAAGAAAGAGAGAGCGATAGAGAGAGAGCGTGCGGAGAGATGAGGGGAGAGAGAGAGAGAGAGAGAGAGAGAGAGAGAGAGAGAGAGAGAGAGAGAGAGAGAGAGAGAGAGAGAGAGAGAGAGAGAGATGGGGGGGGGAGGGAGAGACAGAAAGAGAGAGAAAAAGAGAGAGAGGGGTGGGAGAGAGAGAGGGGGATATATATATATACATATATATATATATATATATATATATATATATATAGAGAGAGAGAGAGAGAGAGAGAGAGAGAGAGAGAGAGAGAGAGAGAGAGAGAGACAGACAGACAGACAGACAGACAGACAGACAGACAGACAGAGAAATACAGACAGACAGAGACAGAGAGAAAGAAAGAAAAGTAAGAAAGAGACTAAGGAGGGAAAAAAGAGAGAAAGAGAGAGAGAGTGAGTGGGAGGGATAGGCAGATAGATAGATAGATAGATAAAAAGAGAGAGAGAGAGAGAGAGAGAGAGAGAGAGAGAGAGAGAGAGAGAGAGAGAGAGAGAGAGAGAGAAGAAGAAGAAGAAGAAAGAAAGAAAAAGAAAAATTGAAGATATAAAAATCCCCTTCTGCGCATGTAGGCCCTTTAACAACCCCCCCCCCCCCGCGGCGTTCCACACATACACTTGCAACAAAACGTACATCCTCACCTCACCCACATTGTCCGAAACAGGCAATGCAACGAGAAAAACATTGCGAAATCTTGCCCAGTCGAGACACACGCACAGCCACCAAATGCATTTAAGGTCAACAGATGCTCTGACCTCGCCAAGCAATTTGGTTTCGATAGCAAGCACAAGCACACAACATACAAAGAGAGGGGGGGGGGGATGCAAGGCCATAAGGTCCAATATCATGTGGCAACGAATAAAGAGATAAACACCATAAACTTTTTCCTTTTTTTTTTCTTTCTTGACTCCCGCGTCGCGTGGAGGAAAGTGAGATTATTTTATTTTCGATATATTCTTTTGAATTGATGGGGAAGAGGATGATAAAGAGAGATAAAGGAAGGCTGAAAAGGAGGAAGGTCAAATTAGGGAAGAGGGGAGGGAGAATGAGGAAGAGGGGGCGGAAGGATACAGAGAGAGAGAGAGAGAGAGAGAGAGAGAGAGAGAGAGAGAGAGAGAGAGAGAGAGAGAGAGAGAGAGAGAGAGAGAGTGGGGGGTGGGGAGACACAGGCAGGCAAACAGACAGATGGACCGATAGACAGACAGACAGACAAACAGCCAGCCAGTCAGATAGACAGACAGACGGACAGACAGACAGACAAACAGCCAGACAGATAGATAAAGGGAGAGCACGGACGAACGGAAGGTGGAAAGGAGGGAGGGAAAGATAAACTAAAAAGAATGAAAATAAAGAGCGAAAGAAAGGAGAAAGACAAAAACAAATACGAAAATGGAAAATAGAAAGAGAGCAAGAGAGCATAGGGGAATGAGAGGCCAGGCTGGCGAGCACCTTAACCTTGTAAAGGTCATAAGAGGGCTGGCCATTGCCTGCCAAAGTCCACAAGAAAGCAAAGATCAGGCTTACAAAAATGTGCAAATAAGACAAAATATACACTATATTTCATTGTGTATTACATATCATCATATGTTTCCAGCACCAAAATTCAATAACAAAAAAGAAGGAAATAACGGTGTTTTTTTGTGTGTTTTTTTCTTTTTTCGTTTTCATTTTCCAAAATAAAGAAATATTGTCAAATAGTTTTACTCTCTTGAGTGTGAAAATGATGATATTAGGTGGTAATACTGATAACAACCACAACAATAACAACAAAGTCAACAATATTAACAACAATTACAATATTACTGCTTATACAGCTGGCAATAATGACAATAGTAGTAATAACAATAACGATAATGATAACAACAATAGTAACAATAAAGATATTACGTGCAGGTGTGTTTTTTTTTTATTCCATCCATGCTAGAACTACAAAGCACCATATTAATTGTAACTGTCGATCAACATCAAATGAAATTTAGTGGGTTATACAGTATTTTTTTATGCTACCAACACAGTAGCCATCATCTTTTGAGTAGAGATCTTTACCTTGAATTTGATTGACCCAACAGATCGCATCAGGAGCCAGTTCTGACTGAATTTTACCCTGTGGATCGTATTAGTAAATACAAAACTTGTCTCCAGTTGCAATTCGTTCCATATATACTTTTAAATTTTATCTACAATCTTTCTAAACAATCTGAAGGAAGATACAGCTCCGCGAGTCAGCCGATCTCGTTTTAGACACTCATCGAGCTAAAAGCTTACGGAGGCCGAGATGGTCTCTTGTAACTGAAAATGCTGAACTATGTGTGATGCCAACTTCCGTAGCTGGCTTTCCTTCTCTGCTCACATTGGAGTCGTTCCCGGCCCTCCTTAAATTGCTTGATCCACCTAAAATCAGTTGTACGTGGGTAGTATAAAAAAGAATAAAAAAATAATAAAGATAAAAAATAAAACTTTCTGCAAAGCCTTCACTAATCTGTGAAAATATCCACTCAAGTTTTGCTATACAAGTGATGGTATCCCTGACTACAAAATCAACTTTATCTACCGCAAAAAGTATCCTTCTTTAAAGACAAATTTAATAATGACGTGACTTTCTGATTTACCTTCGTGCGTCTCCAACAAAATGTCCTTTCTTTACGTTTAGGTCATACGCATTAAACAGAATGTCCTTTCTTTCTATTAATTCATACATCTTATACAAAATATTCTCTCTTTATGTCGTCATTCATATTACAAAAATGTACCCCCCTTTTAGATCGTACTCCCTTATATTTAGGTCATACATCTTTTTAAAAAAATGTTCTCTCCTTATATTTAGGTGATACATCTTTAAAAAAAAAAAAAAAACTCCTTATATTTAGTCCATACGTCTTATACAAAACGTTCTCTCTTTAAGCGTGGGTCATACATCTTATACAAAATGTACTCTCTTTATGTTTATCATTTCTCATCTATAATGACAGAAGATGGAGCTCTTCCGTCGTGAAAAGATTAAGAGAAGTTCAGGACAGGAAGAAGCCCAGCGTCTGAAGGAAGGCTGTTCTGCTTCGGCTTTTGTTGTTTATGATGCTTGTATTGGAAAGGAGAGAAGAAAGAGGGGGGGAAAGAGGAGGAGGAGGAAGAAAGGGAAAGAGGGGAGAGAGGGAAGCGGGGGAGGTGGAGAGAGAGCGAAAGTGAGAGAGGGGGGTGTGGGTTGTGATAGTGAAGTGAGTTGTGATAACAATGTGAGTTGTGAGTGCCATGTTGTGATGCCAATGCATATGGACTGTAATGCCAGTATTATCGTACGCATATTGTGATAATTATGTTATTATATTATACACTGCCTTTTATGTGATATGTTATACCAAGTGAAATATAGAAGTTTATGTTTAGTTTATATTGCTGTGTAGCATATCACTTATATGAAAGAATGATATTCTCTGTTTGATTTATAGAGTACAACATTTTATTTTGTCTCTGTAGTCACACGTCTGGCAGTAAACTCAGAGAGACGGAGCCTGGCGTGTGGGGCAGAGGAACATGAAGAGTTCCGTATTATTTTTGTCAGACCTGATTTCCAATGAACCTACTTTAATTTTCATTGGTGTTTTCTTCGCCCTCAAGTATCATCGAAGAACACCAGGCAAACAAAGAAGACGAACATGGCGCAGTGATCCAGTAAATTCAGTTCTGACGCCTGTTATTGCTACCCGCCCCAGGCCCCCTCGACCTCATGGCGTGTCGCCGGCCCCGCGCCTCGTCCACCCTCGTGCTAGGTCAGCAATCAACCCGCCCGGCAGTGTACTTCATTGATGCAGTGGTGTAGTGCTCTAGTGTAGTGATGTGTATTGTGCAGTGCCTATAGTGTTCGTGCAGTGTTTAGTGTGCTCAGGGGACATTTTCGTAGCATAAGGGAGCCGAAACGAAGCATTTTGGGGTACGAGCGAGGTATACCCTACACTCTCTACGACGCTTCGTGAGCGACTGATTCTCTCGCGCTCGCGGCTCGCCTGCCCGCACATGTCCGCCGTGACGTCACCGCACTGGCACCGCGCACACGAGTGCCATAACACTCGCTGCCCAACGCTACATTTTCGTATCTTCACCGGATTTTCGGCGATTTTGCTGTATAATCTTGACACCCTTACCGCATTACAATGGGTAGAGGGAAGAAGAAAGAAGATACGAGTAAGAGTGACCCTGAAAAGCCAGACTCCAGCCTTGACGAGTCTGCAGGGGCCACTGCCAGCACCCCACCTCCCACTGATGTTGCCACATTGCTACAGTGGATAATTCAGAGGGATGACAAGAGGGAAGACGCCCGCCGGAAGGAGGACGACGCCCGCCGGAAGGAAGAGGATGCACGCAGGAACGAGGAGTCTGCTCGTTTCCAGGAGCTGATCCTTCGCCTCACCCCCCAGCAGCCCGCAGCTTCACCTGCGAGTTCGCCAGTGAGCAGTTCTGCCGCGCCCACTGATTCTCCCACTCCACCGACCCCGAGGGCAACAATACAGCCTCCGAAAGCACTAACAGCAGACGCGAGTCCCCAACAATTTCGGGAATGGAAGCGCGAATGGTCCGATTATGCTGTTTTGGTGGATCTTGTCAGCCTACCATTATCAAAGCAGCATATACAGCTACGCATGTGCCTTACAGCTGAGATGCGACGGGTGCTGGAGCACAAGTTGGACGTGCCCGCAGACACAACATGCTCAGTGGAAGATGTCTTAGCAAAGCTCGAAACGCACATAAAAAATGCAAGTAATGAGGCACTGCGACGGAAGGCCTTCTCTGAGTGCAAGCAAGCAGACGGCGAGAGCTTCGATGACTTTTGGATACGCCTGAAAATCTTGTCACAGGAGATAGACCTTTGCAAGGCACAGGACCAAGCATGCTGTGAGCAGTGGAAGAAACACGGCATATTAATGGGTATACGAGATGAGGAACTTACCCAGAAGCTCATTGAGATGGACCGCTCAGCGACGTTGCAGGATGTTTTGGAGAAATGCAGGTCTCATGAATCGTCAAAGACTGCATCATCTGCTTTGAAGGACACAGTTTCTTCACGTGCTGTTTCTCAATACAAAAGAGAGAAAAAGGCCGCCCTGAAGCAGAAGTCCAAGATGAGGCCTGGCTCACCTCCGCCTAATAAGGCCTGCAACTGCTGTGGTCGTCAACATGAAAAAAGGTTTGTGCAGGGCCACCACTTCCACATGTCGTGCTTGTGGCAAGAAAGGCCATTGGGCTACTGCTTCCAAGTGTCCTGCCAGGAATGCCAGATGCAGGGTGTGCAACAGGCAGGGACACTATGACAAATGCTGCCCAAAGACAAGGAAGGCTAAGAAGACAAAAGAAGAGGACACCAGCCAGGACTTAAAAGTAGTAAGTTCAGTATCCCCTTCAGTGTCATATGCCAGGAGTGTCACTTCTACTGCACGACCGAAGCCTCAGCCTTCCCCTAAAGTCCGCGTGTCAATTCGGCATAATGATTTATCAGGGAGTCTTGCCATCATCCCTGACACAGGTGCAGACACGACTGTCATTGGACTCCAGCATCTTAGTAGTCTCGGCCTCTCAAAGAAAGATTTGGCACCACCGGCAGAGACCATATACTACAATGCGGATGGGTCACAGATGCCACCAGCGGCTGGATCTTTTCGTGGAATCATCACCTATGGCAACCGTTCGACTACATGTTGGATTGATGTTCAGCCTTCGCTTACAACCCCGCTGCTCTCGTGGACCGAGTGCAAAAATTTGGGGATTGTTCCGGACTATTTTCCAAGGCAGATGTCAGATATGCGCATTGCCAATCGAGTCCATGGGCTGGGCAGTGCTCCAATGTCGAACCCTCCTAAGTTGCTGCCCTTACCACTGAACCAGCTGACGTCACCTGATGAAGCAAGGAAGTATTTTCTGCATCAGTATGCAGATGTTTTGGTGAAGAAGGACGACCTGCATTATGGGCCACTCAAGATGATGGTAGGCCCACCCATGAGAATTCATCTACGGGAGAATGCCACGCCCTTCGCAATCCACACCCCAAGAATGATTCCTTTAGCTTTTCAGGAACCAACGAGAAAGGAGCTTGAGTCATTAGTGACCCAAGGCATCTTAAAGCCAGTGGAGGATGAACCATCAGAATGGTGTCATCCAATGGTCGTTGTTCCAAAAGCAAATGGTGGTGTACGTATTACGACTGACCTATCAAAGCTCAACAAACAAGTCTCTCGCCCTGCCCATCCTTCTCCGACGCCATTTACAGCCATTAGAAGTATCAGTCCGCAGTCAAAGTTCTTCACAACTGTGGATGCTCTTTGTGGTTATTGGCAGCTGCCCTTGCATGAGGACGATCAACACCTGACGACATTTATCACTCCTTATGGACGTTTCAGGTATTGTTGTGGCCCCATGGGTTTTGCAGCAACAGGAGACGCCTTTTGTCTCCGAGGTGACAAAGCACTACAGGGAGTAACAAACTGCATCAAGGTTGTGGACGACATTCTCCTACATGATGAGGACTACCTCTCACACCTTCAACGTGTAAACGAAGTCCTGTCAAGGTGTCGCCACCACGGTATAACCCTTAATGCAGAGAAGTTCATTGTGGCTGCATCTGAGACCAGTTTCTGTGGGTACAAGCTATCAAATAATGGT